AATCCCTAGTAGCTGGGATTACAAGCCCCGTTTCTTTTTCTTTTTTTTTAATATTTATTTTTTTAGTTTTAGATGGACACAATATCTTTATTTTATTTTTATGTGGTGCTGAGAATCGAACCCAGTGCCTCACGCATGCTAGGCAAGCACGCTACCACTTGAGCCACATCCCCAGCCCTATTTTATTTATTTATTTATTTATTTTTTCCTTTTGCAGTGCTGGGGATTGAAACCATGGCCTAACTAACACATGCCAGACAAGTGCTGTAACAATGAGCCACATCCCCAGCCTAGGACTAGTTTCTTAATATAGTCAAGTCAGTTACCAGAGTAGCCTCTCTGAACTATTCCTCCTTGCCACTTCAAGGTTCGTGCACTCTATTATTATTATCATTGGTACTGGGGATTGAACCCAGGGGGTGCTTTACCACTGAGTTACATTTCTAGCTCTTTTTATTTCTTTAAGATTGGATCTTCCTAAACTGCTAGGTACTGGCTTCCAGATTGGGATCCTTCTGCCTCAGCAGGATCCCAAATCACTGGGATTACAGATTTGTGCCTCATTGCCCGAATTTATTACATTGTATCTTAACCATTGTTTTACACAAGTTTGAATTTCACCAGACAATGAACTCCCTGAGGGCAGGAACTGAGTCTCACCCATTAGAGCCCTGGTTTGGGTGGGGTGGTGCGTAAGGGATGTATTTCCAGAGACATTAACAATGAGATTGCTTTTCCACTTCGTTTTTAGCTGCTCAAATCTAACTAGTTGTCCAATCCCAGGATACTTGCAGTAGGTGTAGGGGTAGGTATAGGGGCCCATTTCATAAGGTTACAACAAACCAGGAATCCTCATCTCCTTTCACCTAGGTCCCACCCCTGGCAGGCATCCCCTTTACTCCCCTCTAACTCAGGTCTAGCGGGGGTGAATGCCCTGGAGGGCCCTTAGGAGACTTCGGCAATTTGGCACCTGCAATCAGTTTTACTTTAACCCAATGAAGAAAGGTGCCCTTCGTTTTAGGGCTTCGTTTCTTCATTTCATACTGGGCGAGCTAGCAGAGTGGGGAAAGTGGGAGAGTCACTTCAAAAAGAAAGAGCACAGCTCCAAGGGCTACAAGAATGGCCGAGGCCGACGCACACCCGACGCTGGAGTGCAGCTCTCCTGGCCAAGCTGGGGCTTCCCCTTACCCCCGCCTCCTTCACTAAGCCCGACCCATTTTGGGGCGGGATTTCCCACCTCAGCCAATTCTGGGAGCCGAACCCTGGCGGTTTGTACTCTTTCTTTCCAATGAGAAAAAAAGGAAGCAGCTTGGCTCCAATGACCAATCCGAGGAGGCGGCGCCTGGTTGTCAGGCAGGTTTGTAAGAGTTCGGGCCAATTAGAGGCGCAGGCACCGCTCGACCCGGGCGCAGCGCGCAGGCGGTGGCGGAGAGACGCCGAGCGGGCCGAGTGCGGCCGAGCAAAGCCGGAGCCGGAGCGGGGCCGCAGGAGCCGGGCCGGGTCCGGACGGGCCGAGATGCCCTATAAACTGAAGAAGGAGAAGGTGAGCGTGGCCCTTTCCCTCGCGCCTCCGCCTTAGGGCCTGCGCGGAGCTCTGGGAGGGGCCCGAACCAGGCCCGGGACAGCCCTAGACTGACCCTCCCGTCCGGCCCCCCGCAGTATTCCCCGGAGCAGCCCTTAGCCCCCGCGGCTGGCAGCACCTCCAGCCCCTGCCGCATCTAGGACAGCTCCCCACCTTGCCCTGGACGTATTTCCCCCATATACACCTCCCTTTTTTTCCTTCCTCCTCCTACCCGCGGCTCCAGTAACCTCCTCCCTCCGGATCTGCCCCACTCCTAGGTCACTCCCCTGCTTTTTTCCCCTCTGTGTCCCACCGTCCCCGATCCCCCACGGGTTTCTGTGTCTCCCTCCAGAACTGCCCTTTTCCCCCCCGCCCTGCGCAGCCCCCTTCCCTCTTCTTCTCACCGGCCTAGGATTGCCTCTCCACAGTTCCCTACGCCCCTTCTTCCTGAACGCCAAGCCCCCTGACCTAGAACAGCGCTGCTTTCTTTCTCCTTCACCCAAATCTGGCTAGGCCCTTTCTTTAGTTCTTCCTTCACGCACAAACTTGTAAGCCAGAACTGAGCTCTTCCTTCTGTTGATGGAACCTCAGAACGTCAGTGCTGGAAGGAAGCTCTGAGCACATGTAGTGCAATCCCTACTGGTACAGATGAGGAGACTGAGGCCCCTGTAAGGGAAGGGACTTGTCCAAGGTCACACAGTCTGCTGGAGGCCCAGCTGCAATATCAGATACCCTGACTTAAAGGGCTTTTCTGTACCAAAGCCCTCCTAACCTACATCACTTGGCTCCTAGGTTCATCTTAGACCAGACACTTTCCTAATCTGATCAAGCTCCTCCCTTTATTCCTAATCCTAAAATAACCTTTGCATTTTCCCCTTTGTAGGCTGCACGATCCTCAAATTAGGAATCTACCCCTTCAGATTAGTTTTTCTTCTTAGCATCAAGGCCATCCCTGGACATCCATGCTTTTGCGATGATGTCCTGACACAAGCCATTTCTTGATTATCATTGTGAGTGGTGCTGGGGATCCAACTCAGGACCTTGCACATACTAAGCATATGTTCTACCACTGAGCTATATTCCCATCCCCACACGCCATTTCTTCTTTTCTTTTTTGCCATTTCTTGATGTTGCCTTCTTTCAACTTTCTATTCTACCTCCATACTGCCTTCCCTATTCTTCATCCCTGCCTGTTTCTACCCTCTGTTTCCTGCTGTTGCTGAGGTCTGACTCAGAGGTGTGGTTCCTTTAAGGTACAGATTCACACAGAGGATGCTAGGATACCAGCTCCAGCTCCCCCCAGCTTCTCTTGGGGCTGGCCCCTCATGTTGGGGGATGTTTCTGGTTTGATGTGGCTACCCTTCTGATGACTCTAGAGGTGTATTGGCAGCATTCATTTTCCATCTGATTGACTGAGTTGTTGGACTGCCATCTTTGACCTTATCAATCAAAGTCTTTATCCTGGAGCTTTCAGGTATTTGCCAGGCAGCTTTGATTCTAGGTTGTCTCCATAACCTTTCAGGGCCTGAGATTCAGGGTTGGTAATGACATACTATGTGTTGAATCTCCTGAGGTAGAGAGCAAGATTGGGCTGTATGCCTCACCCAGGTCCTGTCCTTGGGAAGTGGGCATGCCAGTGTGGTTTGGGCTGTTCAGCTACAGACAGTGTATGTATACATAAGTCAGCCATACCAGGAGTTAAGAGATGTAGAATTCAGGGGATGTGGTGAGGTCCGCATCCATCTGTAGCTTTTGGCTTGATGGACCAGATACTGTCCCATTGCAGAACATCTTTACTTACTAGATAATTGAGAAGACAAGATATTCATAGTTTTGCAAGGACCACAAGTTTATTAAGTTGAGAAAGGGTGTTAGAAGAATCAGGATGTATGGAGCCAGGCCTATCTCTGATCCCCTGTGTGATTTAACTCCCTGCATTTGATTTTTGGCTGAATTTGTTCTCCTTCAATGGTTGTCAAGTTCTGAGGGGGAGAGAGGTGACAGTGTGACTGAAGTTTGCCTGGATGGGCACAGAGCATGTGGGTGGGTGGAGACTCTTTATTGCTCTTCCATCACCTGTCCCCTTTCTCATTCATCTCTGCTGGTCCCAATCCTATCCTTCACTGCCTCCTCCCTGAAGCTTTTCCTGAGCCAGTGATCTCTACCTACTCCCCTGTATTTGCAGAACATTCGGTAGGCCACTCGTGGCCCTTTTGTGTTCAGCTTTGGATTGGAATTAATTAGAGAGAAGTCTTGTCTTCTCCCTTGAGATCACAAATAAGCTGCATTTTGGTTTCACATCTTACCTACACACAGTAGGTGCTTAGTGAACAGGTGCTGAGACAATCTTTTAGGAGAATATGCAGTCTCCCCTTCTCCCTTGTTCTGATCTGAGATTTACATCTTACGTTCTTGGGTGAGGTGTCTCTGCTCCCTCCCACGTTCTTCTTGTTCATAATAATAATTACAACAACATTGATCAATATTAGGATTTTCACGTGCAGGCCACTATGCTAAGGAAGTGGGTACTATGATTGTCATTTAATAGAAGAGGAGAACAAGGCTTAGAGAGGCCAGTTAACTTGTATCTGATTATATAGCTAGTGAGAGTTGAGCCCCCAAACACAAGGCTAGCTCCAAACCGTTCTTTTAACCTCAGTGTCATGCAGCACTCAATAGTGGGCTGGCCTTCAGTGTGTGCACTTCACCTGTTCTGCAGGAGCTGGGGAACAAGGCTGGTGGGCGCTGTTCCCCATTCACCCACTCACACCCACACACCAAAGCAGCTGGATTTCTCTTAACTACATTCCGTGAGAGATGTGTCTCAGGCATCATGCTGAGTGTCATTGGGTGGGTGGAGGGGTACAAAAAAGAATAAGCAGCTTATGATCAAATAGAGAGATCAGGGCTGGGGATATGGCTTAGTGGTAAAGTGCTTGCCTGGTATGAGTGAGGCCCTAGGTTCGATCCCCAGCACTGCAAAATTAAAAGTAGATAAAGTAGATCAGACTTATATGAAGATGGGTTTCGATTGTCTGAAGGATCCACATCTGAGGGTAAAGACAGTTACCTCAGTTTTGTGTCCTGCCTGCCTCCCTCCCATCTTCTCTCTCTCCACCCTATACACTGAACCACTGACAGAAGTCAGTATGGCCAACCTGGACAGTAGGCATCAGGAATGCTCAGCCTAAAAAGGAATACTTTCCCCCTTGTGCTACTGCATCCAGCTGCTCCACACCTAAGAATGGTTTCTTTCCTCCCCTCCCCCAAGAAGCCTTCCCCCTACTCCAGCCCACACAGAGCTCTCTTCTCCCTGAAATCCTTTTGCCCCCATAGTCACAATCATTTGATTTAACACTTCTTGCTGAAGGGGCTTGGCTGCTATTGAATTGCAGACTTTCAGAGCTGGAAGTGATTTCCAAGATCCTCCAATCCAGTTCTCATTGAAGACTTGAATCCCTTTTGCAACATGCCTTAGAAGAGGTCACCCAGCCTCTGCTTGAATGCTCTCAGGGCTGGGGAGCTTTCAGCTTCACTAGGCAGCCAGTTTCCATGCAACTGCTCCGTGAGAAAATTCATCCTTCTTGCAAGCCCCAGCCTATCCTCTTGCAACTTCATCCCATTGCTCTTCTGCCCCTGGGTCCACATGGACAAGTTGCATCTTTAGTCCACATGGCAGCTCCTCATTTGCTGGTTGAGATGCATCTTGCTTCCCCACCCCCCAGGACTCCTCCCTTCCATTGTTAACTATCCTAGTTCCTGCAGCTGTTGCTCTTGGGCCATGCTTTTGAATACACTCCCAGTATGGGTCACATTTCCCCTAAGAAAAATTCAGATTTCTCATTGCCCTTCCTAAAGTGTGATGCTCATGACTGAACCAGAGGCTCTAGGTGGGCCCTGTCAGTGCCAAGCACTCTGCATAGGTCTGTTAACTGAGTGGAAGGTCATATAAGCTATGGAGGCAGCCACGACACATGGATGGGCAGCCACGGCACATGGTTGATCTGTGTTGAGCTTGCAGTCAGACCTAAATCCCCAAGTCTTTTTCACATTCTCCCCATCCTGTTCCTGTGTGGTTGCTTTTTTTTTTTTTTTTTTGGCCCAAAGCATAGGAAGAGATGCTGGGCAGGCCAGGGCTCTGAGCCAGCTGCCAGGTTCCCAAGGGAAACTTTAGTCTAGTGCTCACTCTTGGTAACAATTCAGGGTTTTACCCTCATCCCTGTCCCAGTACTTACCAGCCCATGCTCTCTTGGTCTTTTGGGTAGGATACTTCCTATACCAGTTAGCATCCCTGGGCCCTACTGATTAAATGACAGTAGCACCTTCTTGTCTTGGTGATATTTGTGACATCTAAAAAATGCCTCCAGGTCTCTCTGGATAGCTGTGAGGGGAGAGGGTGACTCCTACCCTTCTAGCAAGGAAGCCTCTGGTATCCCTTTGACTCCTTCAGCCAGAAGCCAGTCTGAGCATCTTGTTCTCTAGTGCTTTTCCTTAAAGCCTCCTTATTCTGATTCTTAACCTGACTGAGGCCCCTCCTAGGCCTAACCCATGCATAAGCTTGGTGAGGTCCCAGATGAAAGAGCATTGATTATTGTGTGTTAAGGATAACTTCTTAACTAGATTCTAAACTTCTTGGAGGGACTGAATCTCCTTTTATGTGTATCCCCCACCTAGAACTAGGTACAAGGTAGGTTCTGATTGATTGATTCAGTCAGACAGAGTATAGTTGCAACAAGGATAAGGGATCCAGACAGGCCTCTCCCTTCCCTTGGTTTCTGCTAACCCAAACTCCTCCATCTTCTCCCAGCAGGAGCCCCCCAAGCTTGCCAAAGGCACAGCCAAGCCCAGCAGCTCAGGCAAGGATGGTGGAGGTGACAACGCTGAGGAGGTAATGAATATAGGCACAGCCATAGTTGTGGTGCAGGTGCCAGCTCTAGTTCCATGATGGCTGGGGGATGAGGGCTCCTGGGGATCAGCGTTACTCAGGAGGGAAGCTAACATAGGGAAGGAGAAGGAAGGGGGCTAACACAGCCCTGAACAGCTCATCTGGATTATCCTCAGAGGTCCCTTTGGCTGGTTTTCTCTAATTCTTTCAGACTTCTCAGATTGCTATGAAAGTCATTTTTTCTTTGTGTTGATTTTTGAGTGTTGAAAATTCCTTTCTCATGGGCTGGGGGTATAGCTCAGTGCTAAGCATGCATAAGGCCCTGGTTTGATCCCCAGTCCCCCAAAACAAAGAAGTCTCTTTTTCTTAAAGCAAAAAGCTGGGAGGTCCAGGGTCCTGGGGAGAAGAGGAAAAGTCCACGAGTGCTTATGGGGTGACAGGTGACTTTGACATGGCTCTGGGTGGGGCAAGGGGTTGGGAGTGTCTGGTGTCCCTTCAGGGTTGGGCCCACTGCCCTTGGTTTCATTCTAATGAGAGGACCATGGGACAGTCATGAACAGAGGTCAGTGCAGCTCAGCAATCTAGGGCTGTAAAGCAATAAACAGAAAGAGAAAGATCAGCAGAGAATGGAGGGACTTGAGGAAGTACAGGGTATGTCCATGAATATATGGGGGTGTGCTCAGTGGGATGCTTTGGATGGTGTGAACATGTGGAATAAAAAGCCATACTGTGTGGAAGCTGCTGTCCAGTGCTGTGCTTCCTCCCTCCTGCTTGACATTCAGAATGGAGAACACCAGAGCTCTTAGTTATGGGTGGGTCTTGTGGTGTTTTGGCAGAAGAGATTGATTAACAAGTGTTTGGGTTAACTGTGGAATCAGACTTTGCCAACTAGTGCTGGTCACTGTCATTTCTAAAGAGATCAAAACACTTTTTATACCAGTGAGCATTGTTTTAGGCCTCCTTTAAGTAAGCAGAAGCAGCATGCTAGGTTTTGCCCATTTTACAGATGTGGAAGTTTGGGATCACAAAAGAGAAATTGCTCCTTCCTCTGCACTTACATAGTTGTATGAACATGTTTCTAGACTAGTTCTTATCATTTGGTGTTGTAACCATTTGTTTTCATTTGTGTCAGCTGTGAACTAAGGGAAGAAGCTGGGTTTTACTCTGCATTGCTTCTTCCTCACATCTGTGTGCTCACTTGGTTTATAATAAGTTCTTCTGGCAACACATTCTGTGGGCTCAGTCTCTCCTTTAGGAATGGTGACATTGGTGGAACCCACAAGGAAAGGTAGTTGGGAGCTGGTGGCTGACATTCAAAGCCAAGGGTGGCCAAGAATCCCAGTTTAAAAGGAAAGAATGGAATATTTAGGGGTTTGTTTTCACCTTTTGCCTAACCCTTCTTCATATAGTTATTAGATATAGCTATTGGATATCATTTCCTTAAGGCAGCCTTCCTTGACTACCCATCTCCATCTCCAGGACATGGTCAGGGTTTCTGTTAGTTGCTCTTTTTGACACTCCGTCTCAGGATAGCACCCAACCATGACTCTCCTTAAATAATTCCTTGTGAACTCACTGTTTATAAGCTGTTTTCTGTGTTAGCATGGGAGCTTCAGGAGGCTCTTGCTCACCACTGAAGGTCCTGGCGCAGCAGGGGCACCCAGCATTTGAATGCATTTGTGAATGAGTGAACTAGTATATGAACAGACCAACCAACTTCAGATTGGTGTTCGATGGAATCTTAGGATTTAATTCTCTCATTTTATAGATGGGAAAGTGAAAGTTTGAAAAGATTAAGAAGTATGCTGAGACTAGTTGCTGTGATTTCCCCACTGCTTCTGGACAAATCTGCCCAGAGGAGTAGGTCTTGTTTCAAGCTGTTGGAAAAGGAGGGTGTCAAGTTCACCTTGGGCTCTTTATGAAAAGCTGCTCAGTGCTCCCCTATGTGAGACAGCTGCCAGAATTTTGCTCCGTGATTTTCCAGAAAGGTACCCATGCATGGATGGCAGAGTGATGCTTTAAAAGCCAGGCTGTGAGGTCATGGTCTTCAGTCTCAGTTTGTCACAATCCTTCCCTTGCCCTTTTTCTAGTCCAGAATTTTGAACTCTTTTGGCCAAAATTGATAAGCCTTTCCAACTGATCCTAATAACTATAGTTGCTAACATCTATTTCACTGAGTAGTTACTTTGTATTAGTTTCTTACAGTTCCATAACAAATTATCGCAAACTGGTTGGCTTAAAATAACAAAAACTTAAGGACTGGGGTTGAGGCTCAGCGGTAGAGCACTTGCCTAGCACGTGTGAGGCCCTGGGTTCGATCCTCAGCACCACATAAAAATAAATAAATAAATAAATAAAGGTATTGTGTCAACTACAACTAAAAATATTAAAAAAACAACTTATTCTTGGGCTGGGTTGTGGCTCAGTGGTAGAGTGCTCGTCTAGCATGTACAAGGCACTGGGTTTAATCCTCAGCACCACATAAATGTGAAATAAAGATATTGTGTCCACCTAAAACTTAAAAAATATATATATTGGGGCTGGGAATGTGGCTCAGGCAGTAGCGCGCTCGCCTGGCATGCGTGCGGCCCGGGTTCGATCC